ACTAAAACTAAAATGAAAAGCAAGACTCACCTTGCAAAAACCAACCAAGTCCCCGAGACGACGTTGGATATTTTGCAAAGTCTCTGCACTAAACTCCGTCACGCCGGGGTAAACAACATTTTCAGTTATCGTTGTGATAGTGCAGCGTACTTGATCACCCGTTTTCTTGATTGTCAAGTTGTTCAAAGAAGGACAGTTACGACTCCTGATGCGCGTGTACACCTTGTGGAAAACTTTCTGCTTTTGTTCCAGAACGTCCAAGTCCTCCAACAAATCCAGTCCGGGGAACTCAGATCCAGTTTTCTCAAGTAAGACAATGCTGTGCTGAAAGTGGGCAAAGATGTCTTCGTGATGCGTCTCCTTGTTACAAACGAGCCTCTTCATTTCTTCGAAGTCGTGGGCAATCTTTATCTGGGAATATCTTCCAGTTTTGATTTTTTCCGTAGACATTCCTGGGAAAACCCGTACATCAATAAAGATTGTTTTACTTTGAGTTTTATTGTGTGGTAAAAAATTCGTGGAGCAACTTATCTACAAATATCTCTTTAACAGGCGAATCAATGTCACTCATACTTTACACAGCAGTTTGTATCAATTTGTTTTGACTTAATCATATCTTTTCACAACAATTGAGGCAGGATTAAAAATCTTTTCTCCATAAATTTATATAAAATACTATAAATCTCCGTCATGCGGAAAATATGATAGTTCACAGCACTTCCCGCTTCTCACACACATTTTGTACACGTATATGGCCTAGCCTACGTCACAGCTCAACAATATGAAATTTTTAGTGGCAAAACTTATTACAAGGAATGAGTTTTATAGTTAACACTTTTTTGCACTTAAGTTCTCAAAACATACATAAAATAAGCATAATGATTAATGTCGCGATTAGAAAAAATATGACAGACTTGCTTTTAAAAGAAATATTCCCCCAAGCTGTAAGCCTTTTAAAATCTGTAGAAACCACCCACATGGATTTCTTATTAGCATTTATTAAGGAATTTTCTAGAATACTGCTAAAAGGTGTTTACAGAAATATTGATTAGTTAAGACAAATTAATACAAGCCATTGTGCAAAACATGGGTTGCCTAGGTTAGATAGTTGAGGAGATATTTGGCAATAAGTTGCACCACGAATTTTTTGACTGCATTATAGTAAGGTTTTACGGAACTTGCAACACAACTAGGTCATATAAATGTTGAAGATTACAAGTGTTATTAAAGAATAACAATATACAATAAAAAGAAGGAGGAGAGACAAGGGCATTAGATGTTAATCACACCACAGCACCACCAACAATTCACCAACAAAGATCATAAGGCGAGAAGCCATCAGAATTTACTTCAGCTAAGATTTCAAAAGCGTTCAATCAATGTGCTGCACCCAATCCTCTTGGCCTAATCGTATCATAATAATAATTATTGTTACTAAAAAGATAGTTACAAATTGTTTTACCTTAAAGGCTCAGAAACTGAACGAAATTCTGAAAAAAAATGTGATAACATTTAAAACCTAAGTGCAATTTAGATCTTTTGCAGTCGTGTAGCTTAAAGTAATAGACATCTATTTGTTTTTGTTTATTTTGTGCTGTTTTTTCGTTCATCGTATGACTCGGAACTTCCTTCCTTCCTCTGGCTGGCCTCTGTGAGGAGGGCGGCAGTCTGCCGCAGGCAGACAGGTAAGTGGCCTCGTCCAGAGTACATCTGGGCCTGGTCTCGCGTTGTTCTCCATAAGTGAAACTCGATGTGCTTCCCCCACGGGCACTCATACAGTGCGTGCTGCAGGCCGTCAGCACTTGTGCCACACGCCAGACAGGAATCATAAGGAGCGGAGCCTATTGCATGGAGATATGTCTGCAGGATGGGGCTCTTCGAGTTGCATCTTAGCTGCGATAACACTCTTCTCTGTAATGATGTAACGCAAGATGCACGAGCTTGCTGACACGAGATCGACTGGAGTGTTGGACTGGTCGAGGCGGCTTCCCTTGTTGGCCAGGGCGTCAGCTCAGTCGTTCCCGTAGATGTCGCAAAGTTCTGGTATCCATTGTATGTGAAGGTGTCCGTGGATTTCACAGCAGTGGCAGATAGTGGTCCACATTTTGTCCTCTATCTCAGTACGAACTGCAGTCACTCCGGACATTAAGTGTTGAACAACTGACAGGGAGTCTGTGAAGATGTGGATTCTTTGAAAACCTGGTTGTTTTTTCGAACCATTGCAGTGCACAGAGCAGGGCGGTTGTTTCAGCTCGGTAGCTGCTTTCGTATAGTCCCGCGGGCACGGATACGCATGTTTCCTCCCCAGAAGATTTATGTTGACACCAGTATCCTCCACAAAACAGAACTCTTTGCTGCAGGCTTCGGAAAAAGTACAGCTCCGGACCGAACGCCAATCAACCCCTGGATTCAGAGGCTGGTCTATGTCTCCTGTGGTGAACAAGGGCACCGCAGAGGAGACCCTCAGTGCCAGACAGTTGGTAAGGCTGCCGAGGAGCCTGCCACATTGGAAGCTGGTACTTGCCAGGAAGCGGCTCCCCCACAAGTAGGGAGTGGGATCACCCATCCCCCTGAGGGTGACAGTGAGTCCTTGAATGGACGCGAATCCGAAAAATCTGAGGTGAGCCAATCGGAGGAAGACAATTCTGATTCGGACCAATCTTTAGAAAATTTTAAAGTGCCGGTGAAGAAGAGTAAGAAAGATAAAGGCCGGGAAAGGCAGACCTCTAAGACTTGCCCAGCCCCTGAAAATAAGGGTGACCATGGTCGCCAATCAATAGTACAACCTACTCTTCCCGAAATTCTCTCCTCAGCACAGCCACAGCGGTCCAGCAGCAGGAAGAGAGTGGAGCCGCTGAGTCCCGAGGATGAGGCACCAACATCGCGGCGCTCGAAGCGTTGAGGAAGGACGGACCACGATGACGACGATAATGCCTGTACGATCGGACTACGAGAACGAACAGCGATATGGCGGGTAGAACCAGACTGGATTTAGATGAACCACTCAAGGTAGGTACATTAAATGTACGGGGATTTAAAAATCATAAGAAACGATCAGCAGTCTTTAAAAAGTTTCGGTCTGAAAAATTAGACGTAATAGGTATACAGGAAAGTCATTTATCAGAGTTAGATCAAAATGAATTATTAAAGCAATAGGGTGGTGTTATACACTTTAGTCATGGAAGTAATGGGAGCAAAGGTCTTGTCACCTTGTTTAATCCACGTTTTAATGGGAAAGATATAAATATAATCTGTAGGACTGATAGGATCTTAATATCTTCTGTTGTGATGGGAAGCGAAAAATTGTTCTTTATAAATGTTTATGTACCTTGCGAAATAAGGGGGAAAAATAGCATTCATAGACGAGCTTAGTACTCAAATAAAGCAATATTTGGCTGATGAAGGCAACGGAAATATAATATGCATGGGGGATTTTAACCTAGCTGTTGGGGAGTTAGACATAATTTCGGGAGCGGAGCATAGGAAGGATATATGTCAATATTTTCAAAACTTCATACACACTGTAAGTCTGACAGATTCATGGAGATCTCTGCATCCCTTGGAAAAAGCCTACACGTGGAGCAGAGGTAGCCCAATGATTGCCAGACGACTTGACTATATTTTTGCTGGTGAGTCTCTTGTCTCTGCTATAAAAGAGTCCGTTATAAAAGGAATAGGTTTTAGTGATCACCGTATGGTAGTGACTTTGTTTGAGTTTTCAAATTTCAAGTTTGGGAAAGGGCAATATAAACTAAATACTGAACTCCTTAAAGATCCTGCTTATTGTAAAATAATTATAAAATATATACATTCTACTAAAGATGAATACAAAGATGTAGACCCCCATTTACGATGGGAAATGATCAAATGTAATGCAGCAGAAATTTCCCAGCAATACAGTCGTTTCAAAGCAAGAGAAAATTCATACAAACATAAGCTACTGAAATCACGTCTGAACTTCTTAGAAGAAAAATTGACAGTAGATCCTGATAACAGATATTTATGGCAGGCGATTGCAAAGTCCAAAAGTGAACTGGAAATTGATGAGTTGAAGAAAGCGCGGGGGGCCCAGTTGAGAGCGGGTTTAAAATGGGTAGAGGAAGGCGAAAAATGTTCAAAATACTTTTTATCTCAGGAGAAATGTAGGTCCAACGTTAATACCATTAAAAACATTCAAAACGCCTGTGGGGAGCGCATCCACAAGGAAACGGATATTGTAGAAGAAATCGGCAAGCACTACGAAAACGTTTACAATAAAGTTGACAGTCGTAATAAATCGTTTGATTTTGTTTCAGAACATATGGATGCATTTACTAACAACATACATCTTCCTAGTTTATCAGATGATGAAAAGGTGTTTTGTGATGCCCCAGTACTGGAGGATGAGGCAGCAACAGCCCTTAAATAAATGAAGCATGGCTCGGCTCCGGGATGCGACGGTCTGCCAGTGGAGTTTTATCAAGTATTCTGGGAGCATATTAAGGACTCTCTAATGGAAAGTTATAACTACAGTTTCCAGATCAACAAGCTGTCTCCATCAGAAAGGGTAGGAGTAATTTCTTTACTGCATAAGGGCAAAGGTCTCTCTTCACATAGCCTCAATAACTGGAGACCAATTTCCCTAACAAATACAGATTACAAAATTTTAGCTAAAGTTTTATCCATACGTCTTAACTCTGTTATAGATATGCTCATTGGGGAACAACAAACGGGATTTGTGAAAGGAAGACATATATCCATAATTCACAGAGAGATTGATGATATTTTACATAGACACAAAACCACAGATGCACCAGAAATCATTCTTACGGTAGATTTTAAACAGGCATTTGACTTTATAAACACCCACTGTATCCTCAAAAGTCTAGATGTATTTGGCTTTGGCCCAAACTTTCGAAAGTGGATTGAAATATTAAATACAGAAAGACTCTCGTGTGTAAAAAATGGAGGTTATGTCTCGAGGACATTTCCAATGAGTAGCGGTGTTCGACAAGGCTGTCCGATTTCACCACAACTATTTATTCTTGCTGTTGAAATATTAGCCCAAAAAGTAATCCAGAACAATACCATAAGTGGTATCAACACCTATCCGGGTTTGGAGTCTATCAAAATTAGTCAGTATGCAGATGACACAACTTTATTTCTAAGGAATGCCGATGATTTGAGAAGAGCCATGTCCGTTCTGAATGATTTTTCGGTCATTTCAGATCTGCATTTAAATTTGAATATATCTTATGCCATGTGTACAAATGGCCAAGCCGCAACTATAGACGAATTTCCGATTCAGTTTGTTCCAACCATTAAAATTCTTGGAGTATATTTTAGCAATACAAAACCGACGGAAGAACTAGAAGAAAACTGGAAGCCCAGGATCGATACCCTCCTCAGAATTTTTGGGAAATGGGCAAGAAGAGATCTATCAATTCTAGGGAAAATGCACTTAATTAAAACTTTTGGAATAACGCAGTTTCTTTTTGTAATGCAAAGCATATCGTTACCAGAAGATGTCCTTAGCCAAGTGAGCAGAATTTTTTTTAGATTTCTGTGGAAAAAGCGTTTTAACAATAAAAGGGCTTTTGAAAAAGTTAAACGGAAGGTTATGTGTAACGAGCTTGAAAACGGAGGTCTGAAAATGATTAACATGACTAACTTTCAAGATTCCATTCTCTTGAGCTGGGCGGAGGCACTTCTTGCTCCAAAAGCGTAACGATGGAAAAGTCTGGCAGTCGCTGTACTCAAAGATGTTGGTGGGTTGCAGGTTTTTAGAAGCAAGGTAAAAGCAAATAAATTTAAAGGGCTCGACGCTATATCTAGTAAGTTTTGGAGAAGAGTGGTAATTAAATGGTTAGAATACTCTAATAAAGACACAGACTATGTTCTCTCGTTAAACGACTCTATTTTTAATAACGAATATATAATCTATAAAAATCAAACCCTCTTTTTACCATCTTGTATACAAAGAGGCATTTTAGCAATAAAGGACATAACTACCCAGGATGGACGGTTACAGTCTTTAGAAGAGTTCAGAGAAAAATATGGATGCAATCCACGTTGTGTTTTAGACTACAATATTATATCAAATGCGATGAGGAATGTGTATTTTAATGATGAAAAGGATGACAACTTCTATTTCAGGGACACAATTGTAGGTACTATAGGGAGAAAACGTTTTCTTTTAGCATTAAGTAAAATTGAGCCACCACTGTGCATAGGTATTTGGAAAAGGAAATATGGCGTTGATATTAATGAAAAACATTGGCAAATAGTCCATCACGCTAAGGAAACACGTTTGAGGACATTAAATTGGAAAGTACTACATAATATTTATCCCACAAACATATTACTCTTCAAAATGAAATTAAAGGAATCTCAAAACTGCGCATATTGTAATGAGCCTGATTTTATAGAGCATTTTTTTTTATTGTAGGAAGGTCCAGCCACTTTGGAGAGAAATTGAAAAAGATTTACAGGTCCACCTAGGTACATCAATTGTAATTAATGAGAAAATAGTTTTACTTGGGGCAGTGAAGGGAATCGATGTAGGTCATCGGGAATGGGGGTTAACAAATGCAGCTATTGCAATCGGAAAATTAACTGTATCTAAATATAAGTATGGGAAAGCAAGACATATCATATAAATTTATGAGAGTGAATGTAGTCTCAGACAATTGTGGGCTAAGAGCTAAAGGCTAGGCTTCCAGTCTCCATCTCATGCCACTTTTGTTTCGTCCCCGCATGAGAGCGAGTTTAGTGGAAGACTGTTATATACAGCTATGTATGTGTGTGTGCAAATGTGTGAGTGTGTGTTTGTGTGTGTGTGTGTGTGGTTGTGTGTGTGCGTGTGAGTGTGTGTGTGTGTGTGTGTGTGTGTGTGTGTGTGTGTGTGTGTGTGTGTGTTTACGTAATTTAATTATGCAATTTGTACTTCTTAACATCTCTTTGCCTTTATTATACTCTTAGTCAGACTTAATGGTGCCATTCGCGGTCGCGTGTCATCACATGGGGATAGAATAGGGAAGTAATTTGATATAACATTTCCTGCACTTAATACTAACTAGTTTGTCTTTCCATTTCATTAATAGTGGCCTATAAATGTTCTATCTCTTTGGAGACAGGGACTTTTTATGCCCGTGGTGTCTGAGTTGTCGCTGGACGCAACTTCGCTTCCGGTCCTCCAGTACTGCGTGTTGCTTTTTGTGTGCATTAATGTATTGATATACTTGTGGTGAATTTGCTGATCACTCTTTAGGAAGAAGCAATCCTGTAATTCTCTGGTCGTCTAGGCATGGTTTTTCAGGCTTTTTACATCCTCCGACGACCATAGAAGTGCCTCGGGACCGGTTGCGAACGACGATAACGATAACCTCTAAGCACACAAGTTAGTCTGCTTTGACTATGAAAGTTAATTTTTACGAAGATTATTGGCCACATTCCTTTCATTGTTTTGAAAATATGATAGCATAGACGTAGGGTAACAAACACACTAACAATGTCATCACTTAGAAGCGGCCCCCATGTGATTTTTCGGCCTACTTTTATTAAATGCTAGGGATGAAGATGACGAATTATTTCCAAATTTTTGGTCACTCTATGCGAGGAGTTGGGAATGAAGGTTGTGTCCTGCCCCCCAGGACAGCCTGGCGGGGATCTAGAGCAAGCACCAAACAAACTTAACACTAAGACTAACACGCATGTCATTTCCTACATCGCCAACATAAATAATCATCCCCATGCTCACTATCACAATTACCATTACCGTCACCATCGCCAACAACATCATTATCATCATCAGCATTATCATCATCATCATCATCATCATTAGCGACTCAACAATTCCCCTTTCATATAACAATCTGCACCATTACTTTCTTTTTACGTAACCAACAAAAAAAACGGGCACCAAAATCAGGACACGGGGAAAAAAAAAAGAAAAAAAAATGTCTCCTGTTAATTAATGGCCGGTGACGTCGAAATCAACCCTGGACCTGATGAGATGTACCTGATGAGATGTACCCATAACTCGGAACTCGGGTCCATGATCCTTTTGCCCAGGCTGACACTCTAATGAACAGAACGATTCTCTCTCTTCGCACCTTGCTTCACAGCCGATGAATGTGTCCTTGGTGTGCATAGGCTGAGAATCTAGTACAGATATCTATAAGTTTGCAATACTTGCAATAAAAGTTTTAAAACGTTTTAATAAGGTTTTTCGGCGCTCACAACTGTATAAGTACTATGAGGTCATAATATGAGCGTCAAGGGGAGGATGTCAACAGAGAAGTCCAAATGGGGAATCAGGCTTACTCTGCTCACCTCTCTAGCCCCAACAGCACAAAGTCTGCTTCGACTATCAAGGCAAACCGGAAATAGTAGTTCACAAGAGAGTGATAAACATACAAAAGAAGTAGAGGGATAATGACGATAATAAGGATGAGGAAAGAAAACGCAGCAGTTCCCCCGTATGTTATTCCGGCACTGTATGAGCATGGCATATATAAATCAGCCCATTTACATGTACAATTCTACTGTGCATAAGAACGTGTTAATATCCCCCCCCCCCCCTTTAGGAATGGCCTAAAGACAACTTCAGTCAGTAGCACTGCCCTGGTTTGGGGGTTGGGGGGGGGGGTGAGGGTGGAGGGAGCAATAAAAGGAGGGTGTTATCGACAGATTATAATGGTTAATAAAAGACATCCGTCTGTCCTGTTGGAGACCAAGGGTTGGTTCACGCAGAGGATCTGAGTTCGATTCCAGAGAGAGGACAATTTTTATCAAGGATCTTGGTCTTCAAACAGTGACTTGAACTGGTCTTTAGTGACACGCAGGGTCGAAGCCCGCCTCCTAAATGATGTAAATTATGTCTTTTTAAAAATCTATACAAATAAATAAATAATATATATAATTTTATTGATTCATGTGGGGAAATAACGGTTACAATAGCAAACATCCCTACATAATTGCATCGATCTAAATATCTGAGTATTAACTTACCCCCTTTCAGACATCGTTGCAGTCTGCAATAGTTACAGCCTCCTTTGCTGGTCCCCTCAACAAGCCGACACTTTTCCTTCTTGATACAGCACGTAAGCAGATCCTTCTTGCGGATGGCTCGGCGGAAGAACTCGTAGCACTGCTCGCAGGAGTTCACGCCGAAATGGAAGCCCGTGGCTTGACTCCCACACACTCGGCACGGTGGTAGATGTGCCTTCCCGGACGACGGTTTCAGTTTGTCAACCTCGACATCTGCCCCTCGTTTTAGCAGTCTTTTCTTACAGAGTTCCACTGAAGAAGGTGTGTCGCTGCTGATGGAGGAGGAGGAAAAGGAGAAGGAGAAGGAGGTGGCGGTAAAGAAGGGGGAAACGAAGGAGGATATGGAAGCGGCGTGGGGGAACGTTTCTTTCGTTGTCAGATTTGAGGAAAGCTTTAAACGTGACGTGGTGCTGGTTTCTGAATCTTTAGGAGGCAGACACACTTGACTCGGCAGAGGAGCTTTCAGGAGCTCAGTCAGATTAGGCAAGTGGTGTGGGCCGCCTTTGAATTCAGAAGTAGTAGGACGAGGATCTATTCCGCCCCTGGGCTCTTTCAGAAATGACAAAGACGTCAGAGGCACATTTGCTGCTGCTCGAGTGATAGTCGAGACAGTGCCCGCGTCTGATTTGGCCGTGGCAAATTTAGCGTCATTTCCCCAATGGTTTGGTGTGGTGGTGGCGTCCTTTTCCTTCGTAACGAAATCCAAATTGATTACGGTATCAGAGTTTGGACTTTCGTAAACGGGGACTGTGTCATAATTGATTGAACTGTCTGTTGAGGTTATTGAGTGAAGAAAATAGTCTGGGTCCCATACCTGAAGCTGTAAAGGTAAGGGCTGATTATGCTCTTTTGACGTGATGACATCGCTTTCTGGTCGACCCGCAGGATTACAGGGAAAGCCAAGTCTGCTGGTATTTCCCAGTCCTTCATTGTTGTGCCGATCTCGATGTGGTGGTATACTCGAAGCACTGAGATGAAACTCATTCTTTTCCCTGAAGCAGTCCGGAGGGTAAACATGATGACTTGTGCCAATCTGGTGCTGGCCAGGTACGCCCTCTGGCGGCGTCTGAGCAAAGTTATCGCCGTCAAGACTTGGGAGAGACAGTGACGTCATGTGGTCACTGGAAGGTTGAGGTATGTTGAGGCCGTCACCAGCCCCACAAGACGTGAAGCTATCGAGGTATTGGGTTTGGCAGTATTCTGGCTGGAGTATAGGTTGCGTGGCCACTTCTTGGAGTGTCATTTCGGCTTCATCGCATTTAAACTGATAAGAAAACTCCAAAATACATGGGTTCTGATTTGTCGTGTCGACAGCTGAACGCACGGAGTTGTTACGAGGGTTAAGAAAGTCTTCGTCTACATCGACCGCCTGTTCTGTCGAAAGGCTATTCGATTTGAGCCAGCTGAGCAAATCGAAGAGGTCTGAGCCAGGCACAGGCAGGTCAGACGTTTGGATTACTCCGCCATCAGACCCATCTCTAGAAGCCGGAACAGTGCAGCTAGTTCTGTATCCAGACGAAGAAGAAGTAAGTGTATACACGTCTCTTTCGGATAGTTCGTTTTTGCAACCGCTTGGAGAGTGGTCCCTGAAGACCTGGGCGGAAACAGACGATGCTGTGATTTCGTGTAGTGAGGATTCATCTACACCATCAGCCAAAGTCTGCAAGACCGTTTGGAGGTTCTCGTGTTCTAAATTATCAAAATGTGCTGGGGCAAGAATGTCCAAGTCGTCGAAGTCAATACCAACTAAGTGGGACTCTTCAATATTGTTTGAGCACCTTGTCGAGGCGTGCAATTCTGCAAAACGTCCATTATTTCCAGCTGGAAAAGACAGCTGGTCCCGATTGTTCGTATCTCTTTCCGTGAGAAACGTAGAGGAAGTCGTTCTGTTAGCGTTGTTATTGCAACCCTCTCGAGGTGAATTGTCGTATCTATAGACTTTAAAGGCTTCTCGTGTATCGTGCAGCACCTCATCTGAACTGTCTAAAGGTATGTGAGATTGGTCCTCGGTCGCCAAGCTCCTGGGTAAGCTAGTGTGTACTGGTGTAGCATCATAGGAAGTGTGTGAAGCTTTAGTGAGTAAGGCTGTGTCTGTAGAATTAGTGATTAAGCCTGAGTGTGACAGATCAATAACTGAACCTAAGTGTGAAGGTTCAATGAATGAGCTTGAGTGTGAAGATTCAGTTCCTAAACCTGAGTGTGAAGGTTCAATAAATAAGGAAGAGTGTAAAGATTCAGTTCCTAAGCCTGAGTGTGAAGTTTCATTGAACAAGGATGAGTGTGGAGGTTCAATAAATAAGCCAATGTGTGAAGGTTCAGCGACTGAGCCAATGCGGGAAGGTTCAGGGACTGACTGAGAACGCTTCGTCGCTTTGATACAGGGCCTATTTAATATGCAGGGCACCTGTCTATCATCAGTCACGCTAGCACCACTATTTCGAGCCTGCGAATGCAAGTCGTAGAAGTCTGGAGCCTGGAAAGATTCACGCTCACGCTGGGAAGTCAAACTCGCTTCTGAGAACTTGGTCAAGGGGGGAGGAGAGTTGATTTCTAGAGTTCTCCATTGGTCGAAGGGAAAGGGACGCGGATCCGGCGTGTACGGAGAGCTTTGGCTTTCTGCACTTTCGGGCTGGTGGAACAGATCATAGATGAGGTCTTTGTCATCTGGGACAGACATGCTAGACGATATTGTGGCGTGTCTGAGGACATGAATGAATGGATGAATAAATGGATGGATGGATGGATGGATGGATGGATGGATGGATGGATGGATGGATGGATGGATGGATGGATGGATGGATGGATGGATGGAATGATGGGTGGATGGATGGGTGAATGAGTGTGTGGGTGGGTGGATGAATGGATGGATAGATGAAAGTGTGGGTGGGTTGATGGATGAATGGATGGATGGATGGATGGATGGATGGATGGATGGATGGATGGATGGATGGATGGATGGATGGATGAGTGTGTGGGTGGGTGGATGAATGGATGGATAGATGAAAGTGTGGGTGGGTGGATGGATGAATGGATGGATGGATGGATGGATGGATGGGTGGGTGGTTGGATGGGTGGATGGATGGGAGGGTGGTTGGATGAATGGATGGATGGAGACATGTGTGGGTGGGTGGATGAATGGATGGATGAACCTTTACTGATTTCTTTGCGGGAATTCTTATATGGGTTGACAACAAGTTCATCAGTATCTCTCTTTCTTTCTCTCTCTCTCTCTCTCTCTCTCTCTCTCTCTCTCTCTCTCTCTTTCTCACTTTCTCACACACACATGCACGCTTGCGGACACCCATACACCCACACACACACACCTTTTCATATCCTCTCTTCTACGTTCATTTGTGCATATATGTAAAGAATAAATTATGCTTGCACTCATAAACGGTCCATTAGTCACACCCAAAAACCACACACACACACACACACACACACACACACACACACACACACACACACAC